ATTCAATTTTGTTGCTGGTAATTGGTCTGTTTAGATTTTCTGTTTCTTTCTGGGTCAGTTTTGGAAGGTTGTATTTTTCTAGAATATTGTCCATTTCTTGTAGGTTATCTAGCTTGTTAGCATATAGATTTTCATAGTATTCTCTAATAATCCTTTGTATTTCTGTGACATCCCTCATGATTTTTCCTTTCTCATTTCTGATTCTGTTGATGTGTGTAGATTCTCAGGTCCAGCCGGGTCACGGCTTTGTATTTTACCCTTTTCTTGAGATGCTGATTGTCACAGATGTAGATGTAGCCTGGCTGTTGTACTGTATCTTATGGTCTCTCTTTTAGAAATAGTTATATTTGCTATATTTTCAAAATGTATATGGTTTGGGGAGGAGATTTCTGCCGGCCTACTCACACTACCATGTAGAGAAATCCTCTCTTTTTCCTAATTTTAAAGGAAACACTGAATATTCCTGATAAAGGGTGGTGGGCTAGAACCAACTTTTAGCAGCTAACAAGAGCCAATCATTAACTTCTTTAATTTTGCAAGCCAGTTGTTAAGAAACAACCATTATTAAGCATTAAATTGTATAAACTTACAATTTAGTAAATTCATATTGAAAGCAAAGTAATACATTTTCTAAACTCAACATTTAGTATTTTACTTTCTGGCATTTTACTATTACCTATTCTCTTGAGGTTATTTCTATATCGTCTATCTGCATGGTGGAAATACTACATAATGGGGGTGATGTGTGCATATCTCTTCCTAACTCCTTGTCAGTGACATCACATTGACAACTTTGAGCTGGCCATGGTTGGAGTATTTGCACTGTCGAAAGTGGCAGCCCAAAGCAGTTAGGGCTTTTATTCTCCTCAGGAGCCTGTTGTTAAACATTTACTGACATACCTCTGATTTTTGCCACAGGTTCTGGCATTTTCCTAGCCTGTTAACTAAAGCAAAAGGAAGGGGAGTGTATATGTAAGGAGAGGGCAGAGGGAGGCTGGTAAGGAAGCTTTCATCAGTGTGATAACCTGAACTTGGTGTTTTCCTCACAGATAACTGCGATGCCCCGCTGGCATCCTCCTTGCCTCGAGCATCCTTCAGCAGCTCCTCAGAGCTGTCCGGCAGCCACGGCCCTGGGTTTGCAAATCTTAATCGCAGAGATGGTGAGTCTGCTACTATCTTCTTGTTAATCCACCATGGTTCTCTCTCAGAGAGTATTCTCATCTTAGTTAATACTCATTCTTACAGCTCAAAAATTAATTATTCTGCAGTTTAATGAAAGTGAAGAAAGCAGACTCATATTCTCATTTGCTAGCTTTCTTTTTGTTTATTATCAATCTTTTTTGTTTGTTTTGATACTTTCCTTCCCTATTCATCGCCAGCAAATGATCATAAATGAGATTAAAATCAGAAGGGAATTATTGGAGGCTCAATTATTTCCAGTTTTATCAATCCCTTTTAGAAAAGCCTCTGGGAACAGTGACTAGTCAAGCATTCTGATTATGAATAACTAAAACAAAAAAGAAATGAGCCAGTGCCACAGCCACTGGGGGGGGATCTGAACAGGCCACAGCAGGGCATCCGTGAGATGTGAATTTGTCATGGGTATAATGGGGAAAGGGCTCAGTCCCAGGACTTTTGAGAGGAGACCAGCGGAAGGCTCCTGTTGAAAATACAGATTCCCTTCCTATGAGTGGGAAGGGAGCTAGTGGGTATCTTGGACAGAGATTAGCCCATTCTTGCTAGTGTAGTACCATCGGTTCAATTACTTCTCTATTGCACAAATAATAGTTTAGTGGGTAAATTAGTGAATACATACGCTTAAAACTCAGATGTTTCACTACCTTTTTAAGGGATAGATTAATTTTATTGAGAAAGGTGAAGTCAAAGTAAAATTTGAAATTAACCTGTGTCCCATGTAAACACACTATCACAAATTCTGGAGATACTGCTATGGAATTTAAGTGTTTTTCTCCATTGGTATTTCTAAGATCAGAGTTTAGTGATAGCTTGAATTTTACTGTGTCCTCAGAAATCAAATGTGGGAACCCAGTAGTGAGTGATTATATTGGCTGATACAGAAGAGTAGGGTCACTAGAGAAGAAACTCAGTGAGCCTAGGGTGGGGGCATATCCATTCACTGTCCACCTTGTGGGCTTTTACCAGGAAGAAGCAATCTGTGGCCAGATACTTACTCCTCAGCATCATTCATGCTCATTTTTAGCATCCCAGTGAAACATATCTTCTCACTGCCATCAGATTTCAATTAGTAATAAAGGTATCAAATTCACCATTTTTTGGTCTGGTGGTTACTCTGATATCAGCTTAATATCTAAACTTCCTAGTGGTTTGCCCAGAGATTCTAAAAACTAAGTAAGCACCACATTTCATTAGTCTAAAAAAGCCCCAGGAGCTTGTGCATTGTGTTCCTGATTTGCATGTACAGAACATCAGTGTGACTCAGGCCTTTGGTGCCATCAGTATGGGGCACTGGGAAGTTGATAAACATTGACAGGGAAAATGCCGAAGTTTACGATGAACTTATTTCCATTACACTTAATTAAAAGAACTAATAACTCAGAATATGATAAGCAGTCATTATAAAACGGTGAGTACAAAGCTTATCTTTTATATTTGGATCACTCTGCAAATTCAAATTAATTTTTAAAGAGTGGCAATCAACTGATGAGGCATGTGTTTTGTGGTGGTTGTCACTCTGATGGCATACAGTGTGCATGCGGATGCTGGGGCATTTCCACCTGATTGCATTCCCACTTCTAAAGCATGATTTAGATAGCACATCTTACCAATATTCTTCCTGAAGGGTCATCTGTCTCTATTTTATGTTAAAAGCCAGCATCCCAGAGTCTTCCTTGGCTTTTCTTTTATCTTTGTAAATGCTGGAGAACATACAAGTTCACTTCAGTTTAGATTATCACAATGTAAAATATGGATAGCGTAAAACCTGGATTAAAATGCTGATTACTCTCCATATACAGTAGTTTTAGCTTTTCTGAGAATTCTGTGTATGATGTAGTGATGAAAACCATCATGTTAGATTACCTGATTATATGGTTAAAATTTTCTTGGTCTATGTTATTGTATTTGAAGGTTTTAAAGAAGGTGGTCTGTTACTTCCGTAGTTTCTTATTTTGCCTAGAAGTCATTGATATTCTAGAATTCTTAAGAATTACAAATGTCTCAAATATCATAGATTCTGCCAAGAATTTTATATGTAGCTGATAACTGCACCTACTGGATGCATAAAGGTACCAAGAGAATAGTCTATACATAATTTTAGACTGCACACATACATAAATTTGAGCCATTCTATATGTAATCCCCCCCAAAGCCAAATGATTTATGCACAAATAATAGTTTAGTGGGTAAATTAGTGAATACATACGCTTAAAACTCAGATGTTTCACTACCTTTTTAAGGGATAGATTAATTTTATTGAGAAAGGTGAAGTCAAAGTAAAATTTGAAATTAACCTGTGTCCCATGTAAACACACTGTCACAAATTCTGGAGATACTGCTATGGAATTTAAGTGTTTTTCTCCATTGGTATTTCTAAGATCAGAGTTTAGTGATAGCTTGAATTTTACTGTGTCCTCAGAAATCAAATGTGGGAACCCAGTAGTGAGTGATTATATTGGCTGATACAGAAGAGTAGGGTCACTAGAGAAGAAACTCAGTGAGCCTAGGGTGGGGGCATATCCATTCACTGTCCACCTTGTGGGCTTTTACCAGGAAGAAGCAATCTGTGGCCAGATACTTACTCCTCAGCATCATTCATGCTCATTTTTAGCATCCCAGTGAAACATATCTTCTCACTGCCATCAGATTTCAATTAGTAATAAAGGTATCAAATTCACCATTTTTTGGTCTGGTGGTTACTCTGATATCAGCTTAATATCTAAACTTCCTAGTGGTTTGCCCAGAGATTCTAAAAACTAAGTAAGCACCACATTTCATTAGTCTAAAAAAGCCCCAGGAGCTTGTGCATTGTGTTCCTGATTTGCATGTACAGAACATCAGTGTGACTCAGGCCTTTGGTGCCATCAGTATGGGGCACTGGGAAGTTGATAAACATTGACAGGGAAAATGCCGAAGTTTACGATGAACTTATTTCCATTACACTTAATTAAAAGAACTAATAACTCAGAATATGATAAGCAGTCATTATAAAATGGTGAGTACAAAGCTTATCTTTTATATTTGGATCACTCTGCAAATTCAAATTAATTTTTAAAGAGTGGCAATCAACTGATGAGGCATGTGTTTTGTGGTGGTTGTCACTCTGATGGCATACAGTGTGCATGCGGATGCTGGGGCATTTCCACCTGATTGCATTCCCACTTCTAAAGCATGATTTAGATAGCACATCTTACCAATATTCTTCCTGAAGGGTCATCTGTCTCTATTTTATGTTAAAAGCCAGCATCCCAGAGTCTTCCTTGGCTTTTCTTTTATCTTTGTAAATGCTGGAGAACATACAAGTTCACTTCAGTTTAGATTATCACAATGTAAAATATGGATAGCGTAAAACCTGTATTAAAATGCTGATTACTCTCCATATACAGTAGTTTTAGCTTTTCTGAGAATTCTGTGTATGATGTAGTGATGAAAACCATCATGTTAGATTACCTGATTATATGGTTAAAATTTTCTTGGTCTATGTTATTGTATTTGAAGGTTTTAAAGAAGGTGGTCTGTTACTTCCGTAGTTTCTTATTTTGCCTAGAAGTCATTGATATTCTAGAATTCTTAAGAATTACAAATGTCTCAAATATCAGATTCTGCCAAGAATTTTATATGTAGCTGATAACTGCACCTACTGGATGCATAAAGGTACCAAGAGAATAGTCTATACATAATTTTAGACTGCACACATACATAAATTTGAGCCATTCTATATGTAATCCCCCCCAAAGCCAAATGATTTAGAATCCTAAGGTATTTTATGATTTTACAGCACTTCACTGATTCAACACACAGCCAGTATTAATTAGTGAATTCAAATGTGTTGCACATTTCATGTTCTCTGGTTTTATGTATTTTTTGCTTACATATCTTATTTATGTGTTCATTTTGTTTTCTATTTATGAAAAGTAGTAAAACATTTCTCAGGAAGACTGCAATAAATAGAGGAAAGAGGTCTGTGAAAGATCCTGAGGGCTAAGTAGGGAAGTCTGGGGAGGTCCAGCATTTCTGGGGATGTGCCAGCCATGGAGAGGTGGGGCTCCAGGAGCCTGGGATGCTGTGACTCCTGAGCCTGCCACCACATGCCTGTGTTTTTGTGTTTCCTAGAAGAAGCTCCCGTTATTGTGGAGGTAGTCATGAGTTGAATCATCGCTCAGCATGAACCTAAGTGCTCCTAGAGTTTCTTTTGGAAATCTCTGTTTGGGCTCCTCTAGAGTTCCTATTTGGAAGTCTTAGGTTGGGATCTAGATAATACTTTTAAGAAATGTCCACACTGCTGTTAATATACCTTATCTTTTTAAACAAAGAAAAACTGCTGAAAAGTTACTACCCCCAAATGCCCAGATGTGTGATTTTTCAAAACTGATAGTTGTATGAAATAAATCACGTACACATATATTTATTCATGTACCTGCTCAAGAGAATTGATGCCATTAGATAAAAAAAGTAAAGTCCTAGAAAACTGGGTTTGACTGATCAATTTGACTGATTTTGTTTCCATCATTATTATGTTGATATTTTCTAAAACTGTAAGTCACCAAATATTTCTATACAAAACCGAGATTGCTGAAATCTGACTGTTGATTGTGAATAATAGCATGCTTTAATATTGACTTCACACTTTTCTTCTGAGAAATACCCTAAGGAAACTTTATACTCCATGTTTATCAGATAAAAGTTACAAAAAAACCAAAAACCAAAAACTATGTTATAGTAAGCCATGCTGGACTTTTATTCTACCTTTTGCTTGTGAAAATAGCCTTTTGTTTTTATAGTTATTGTTACTTCAGGTGACCCTTCATCTTTAAGGCTTAGGAGCCTTGCACATCTTGTTTTTAAACTCTTGATACTTTGTTCTCTTTAGTTACATGATGTGTGAGCCCAGGTGAGGTGGAGGGAGGCCTGGAGAAGCTATTTGAAACTGATTAGGAGGAAACATACACACAGTTTTGTCCTT